ACTATTTCGCCTGAGTTTAAACTTACAGAAAACAGTTTAAAAAATAGAAACTCATTTTGGTATAGTCCTCCAATGTGCCTGATTTATTAATCTCAAAGATCACAGGTGATTAGCATGGGTTGTTTCAGTACATGTATATATATATATATATATATATATATATATTTGTAACAACAAATGGCGAGACACGGAAGCCAAGATATATTTTTCATTGATCAACCGCTGTTCATATATGTACAGTTTATATTCGTTAACCAATCATTGAGCGTGTGTTTTTGGGTTACATTAAATGACGAAATAGAATGTTCAAATATACGTAGTATTCTGTTGCTAATGCCATATTGAACTGTGGGAACACTTGAGAATAACACTCTGTTGGCACACATTGTCTGTATCACACCACCACATTTAGATTGGACACTAGTTTGTAACTGGCCTAATGTGTCTAGTGCTTTGTTTGGTGTAGACTGAGTTCTTTTAATCAAGTTTGCAATGTGGCCACCATTCTAGATGTCTTGCCATCACGGTACACTTTGAATTATTAATATTAGATGGTCAGAAACAATCGGCGGGAAGCCTTTGACCTAAGTTTCGTGCCAGTTGGCACACGTCAGTTGATGGATTCCTGCCGACTGCCTCCAACTATATAATATATCTTCATATATATAATAAAGTTCTCTTTTCAAGGATTCCACTGTCATAGATGTACAATCGTATTTATATGTGAATTACAATCGACAATAATAACCACTTTCCTATTGTGTTAAATAATTTAATAATTCCCATTGTAGCATTGTGTTAAAGTTTGACAGTGATTACGAATCACAAATTGATTAGATATATGAATGAATAAATAAATAAAGGTCAATTTAAAGTTCAATGAACATGCGTAAATTGGATGATAGGATGATGAAGGACATTCGGAAAGTGAATGTGCGAAGTGCGCAATATATGAAATAAGATGGAGAAATAAAATGACTAAAGTGCTGTAAACAGAATAAAATGTTAGAATGTGCTAATGAAGTAAAGTGAAATAAAACAAAATATAAATCGAACATGGAATAAAGAAGCATAAAGAGGTTTTTGTGAATGACAATATAAAATCAAAACCATGGTAACGAAAGTATTCGTTTCAGCAAACTTTGTCTGACTTTGTAAACTATATTAAAGGTTACATCAATTGCTACGTGGTCATTACCTACTCTATGTTGCAATATAGATGAATGAATGGCTTTACACTGTCCTCTCCTCAACCAAGCTGGGAGATGCTCTCGAACGCGGCAGGATATTTCTCTTGATAAACATCCTATTACCATAGCTGCACAACAGCAGATGAGCATATAAGCACACGTGAAAGTTAACAACTGAGGTAACATTTCCTTAGCATTAAGGTTCACTAGTAGACGGCTAGAGTAGGGTATTCGTAGGGTGGCAGCAAAAAATGTTTTTTTCTGATGATTTTGTCAACTGATTTATATATATATATATATATACCTCCTGGATGGTGGAATAGTTGTGTTAGTATTAACCCTCAAACTTTCAGTGCCGCGAACGCTGTCATTTTTAGTGGTACTAAGCTTGATTGCAGTATTTTTTATTGTTGCCAAAATCCACACGCAATTCTGAAACATAAATGGCTTAGTAGTTAAGTCACGAAGTCCTAGTTGTGAATATACACCGTATGATACCTAATGAATTTAAGCTTCACATATGTCAGAAATACTAGTCACTTTGACTGTATATTTTTTTTCACAAGATAGTTTCTAATCCTTCTAACAGTTTGAGGCAAGATATCATTGAATTCAATCTGTGAAAATATCTCTTATTCCAAGCCACTTTAACTAAGTATACTTAAATACAAACTTTGAGGATTAGGTGCAGACACTGAAGTTTATCAATTTGTGGAAGCTAACGAATTTAATGATATAAGTATAAAACTTGGGCACTGTGGTAGAGTATAATTCCATAATGGATAAGATTTTATTTTGATAAATCACACAGTGTAGTACAGTTATATTAACTGATGACGTTTCGAGCACAAACTATTGCTCATAATCATATCAAGTTACTCACACAACTTCTTTCCTTCATTTATATACATGTGTGGATTCGATTAGATATTGGAATAGAATTCAAAATGAGATAATGTACCTTCAGAAATAATAGTACGAGTTTTATTAATCCATTGCAATTTAATGCTACAGTAAGGGGGATAAGTGTCGATAAGCCATTCAGATTGTGGCAGATTGATGAGTAAGTGAACCACCCTAGTTTTTCATAATATCTGTTCCCCTGGAACTATTCTGAATACGGTTGATGACTTCTTCTACTATCCACTGCTGCTTTGAGTCTTTACAAAGGCTTCATTCAGTCTATCCAGAAGACAATCACAGGCATGATAGAAGAGGATGTTGCTATAGTGATGTCACCAACAGCTTCGAAGACTTTCATACAGTGGGAATCATTCTCCTCCGGTATCGACTCAAAAGCAAGGGAATTTGCAATTGTACAATGCTACAATCAACGCAGATCAAACCTCCACAGACTGCTGAAAACAGTAATGGACAAGGCCAGCCAAATTGGGAGCAGACAACAAAGAAAGAGAACCACACGGATATACACAAGGCGATGTTGGCTTCCTCAGAGAGACACACCAAAAACCAGATAGCCTTATTTTGATTTATAAAGAAGTGAAGACACAGCAGCCTACTGGATGCAAAGTTGAGACGAGGAGCGTATGTAGGCTTAGAGGACCATGTAGTGCAGGAAACCTTCAAGATCATTCTGAAAGCCTCTAAAGAAGCGGGAGAAAGGTAGACAACGATTCAAGTCCAACACATAAAACCTAAAAGACGAAGCTACAAATGACACCCCTACTTCATTCATCAACAAAAACGTCGCACAATGTAATCAACATCAAGAGGAAAACTGTATGGAAAAATATTAAAACCTGCTGAAGAGATTGGAGAAGGAAACTTGTATGGACATCCTAAACAAGAAGAAGAGGTAACAGAAGGGATAACTCCCTCTGGACATCTGTAACCTAACAGAGAAGAGATGCATGGTGAAGCAGAAGGTGGACTAGTGCAGAGACGAACAACCAAAAGAGAAGCTGAGTACAATCTGCAGGTCACTGAAGAGTACCGTATCAAATAACCTGGTCAGGAAAAGGTCAACACACATACATCCAGTGAAAGTTAGTGGAGGGAAGCCAATCTTAAAAGAGGTGAAATAAGGAAAATGAATTGCTGATGACTTCAGAAATACCTCCAGTAGTCTCAGAACTGCTAGTGAACAACAACTCTACAACAAAATTAGGAGTCTTGAAAGACGTATAGACACTGGAAACCTGGAAAGCAGCATAACCAGATGGAGAAAGACTCCAGCGTATATACTAACGCCACTAATGCACAAGGCTTGAAAGTAGGGGAAGGTATCTGAAGACTAGAATAATGGTTACTTTGTCCAGCTGCCAAAGAGGCTCAACTTAAGTCTATGCAAAAACCAGCTCGGAAATATGCTTCTGTATACTCCAAGCAACAAATTAGACGGAATCATTTTGGAGGGACTAAAGGACGACTTAGGTGGGAAACTCTCTTTGGGACAAACTTCACTAGAGAAAAACAAGTCGTGTGAGACACTACGCATTATCATCGAACAGAGTTTAGGATGGCAGTAGACCCCTAACTATTATGTCGTAGACTTTAAAAGGTCTTCGATAGCATCGATCATGATGTTATTTGGCAAGTGTTTCAACATTGCGGTGTGTAGTACCACAAATCCTTTTAAACTTCATCCAACAGCTACATGATGATGCCACATGCCAAGTAATTCACAACGGAAAGCTCAGACAAGTCTCTGAAGTGAAGAAAAGGCTGCTAGTTATCACCGTTGATCTTGCTAATTGTTGTATTATGGATCATTTTGCAGGCTGGGCATGTGATGGACTGACAAATGGACCTTAAAAGAGTGGACTCCGCAGATGAATTTTGTCTTGTGTCTCAATGACTTTAAGACTTACGAAGGGAAACCAACCAGTTGGCAGATAAAGGAACGAAGGCAGGACTATTCATTTATATTAACCTTAAAAAGCGCTAATTACCGTCAACTGGAGTAATCTAAGGGAAGTGGTCTCTTTCACTTACTTGATCTAGGCAGCGCCTTTTCGACTGCAGGCCGGATGGATGGGAATTTCAATGCTAGCCAGTCATGCAAGACAGGTGTTGATCACCCTGAAATTGGTGCAGAAATCTACAGAACTTAGCACAAAGAATAAGGTTCAGATTTCCAACACTAATGTGAAGTCATTGAGTGCTTGTATATGATTCAGACACATGTCTGTTTCTGAAAAGCCTCAGACTCTTTCATCAAGCAACAACTACCATCGCTATCTGGATGTCTGAAGATCAGATGGCCGACCAGAAAGGATAAACAACAAGGAACTCTGCCAGTATTCTAGATAACAACTAATCACCCGACAAAAATGGAGAATGAGATGAAGTTGGACTGTGTGTATACGGTGAGGTGACCTTCAAATGAAATCTCACACGAAGTCCTGAAGTGGGAAGCCATTGAGAAGCTATGAGTTGGGTGTCCGAAGGCAAAGTGGGGAAAATCACGTGAAGACAGGAAATGCAAACCTTTGAGTAGTCGCTGAACCAGCTCAGAAATAAAATAAAAAACACAATGAAAATGTGAGGCTAAAAGGCCATATATATCGTGTTTTGAATCCATGGAACGAATGATTATAATGATGTATCTGCAGTTTATTTAGTTCATTCACTGGTTTTTAAGGGAAACTGTACACTGTTTATATTGAATATTCTTAAATGCATTACTGAAGTACATTTGAATATTCTGAAGACTTTGTGCATTTGTATGCCAATCATTGAGGATGGCATTAATTTCGTTTTGTTGGGTCTTATTATTCTTGTTATTTTTTACATTGCACATTTATATTTGAAATTTTGATTTAAATAATATACCTATTTACACTACAGATATTTCGAAACTTCTTCCAACAATTTCTTCAATGTCAAAAAGAATACCTTAATGAAATGCGAAAACTGGAGCGTGAAGAAAAACTACAGGAAAAGGAACAAAGAAAAAGGCTTATAGAGACTATAGAACACGAGTACTGAAGTTAATTTGAATTTAACTAACTAAACTAAGGAGTTTTACCATTTCAAGTTTTATAGCTTATTATGTTTATTTTTCATATTACGTTCTTGTTTATTAGACTAGAATGTTTGTCAATCATTATTGCTGAACACATGTGCGTCGGTGGCTCAGGGTTTAGGACGTTCGCCTACCAACGCACATGGTTCGGGGTTCAATCCCTGGCCGAAACACACCTGATATCAGCCTACTAAATTTGGGCTACCGATATCACACGCTGAAAATTCCATAGTTGTACCCAAAATACTGTATGGAATCAAGCTATAATAATTTTAAAGAAAAATCCGATTTTCATTTACCTCGTGTGCTTCATTGAATTTTACAAGTCAGTTCCTCATCTTCACTCAATCTATCTTAACAGTTCAACGTATCATTTCTCAAGAAGGATGTTTTTCTCTGTGCCAAGTACATGAATAAGACTGTTGAGAATAGAGTGTTGCGTTATTGTACTTGTATTTCTCGGTAAAAAACAATTCTTAAGTTTACGTTTTATTTGAGTTGTAATTATAATAGCAGATGTGTTTTTGACTAGTCAGTAAAAATGTTTTGAAGACAGGTCTTATGATCTCTTGAAAACATCATCAGAAACCTTGTTAAACTTTGAATTCCCTGTGGGAGTTCAATCCACTTCATTCAATAGGATTCCTGTTTTCCGAATCACCTTTAAGCGTATTTATTGATGTTTAGTAGTAGTCTAAAGGGATGATTTATTTGTTGTTGACTATAAAAAATTAATAATGTGTGCTAGTTGGTTGAAAAAACGAGTGTGTACTCTCCAAAGCATAAGAAAATGATAAATAAGTGCATCCAGCATTTTGACTTTAGGCGGAATTCGATTATGTCAAAAACATTGAAATCATTCTAATCTTCATAAACACACAATTTGATTATAAAGCCACTGCTTACTAGTGACCAGCTTCAAGATGCATTTCTTAGAGTTATGATGGTGAAACAGCAGCTTGTTGATGCCATTGGATGATGGCCTTGGTGCTGTATCGCCAATCAGATAGAATTTATAATTTACAAGCTATTGAATACCAACTCGGTGGTTGAATAGTAATCTGATCGCTTCAATTTCGTTTCTAGTAGGATTATGTTAACTTGCTACTGATATGTTGTTACAGGCTATAAGGAAACATCTCTCCTCGACTTCTAATAGTTTATCAACTGTTTTCAAAGCGTGGTGAAACCTATCTTTTGTGGAAATATGTGTAAATTAAAGGCATCACACTAGTGTTTGTAATGTCTTACAGAATTTACTGAGTCCTTATTATCTGTATTCCATGCTGTTTTCTTTTTATCGTGTAACTAGATATCGTGTTCGATTGGAGTTGTTGAATGAAAATATTAAAAAGGAGCGTGATGAACAATCACTTCGCATGCGTGAAGAACAAAAAGTATGTGTTTTTGTATTTACACCATGTTAGTGTGAATGGAGAAGTAAACAGTATGGATGTTTTATGCGATAATTTTATCTTACTCAGTGAATATGACAATACAGATATAGACATTAGAATTTACAGAGTGACATGTGGCGAATTCGATTATGTGGCTAGTATGAATGACTCATTATACGAAGCCCAAATGACTTCCTGTGCTGAATGTGTTCTATATGGAACTTTACTCAAATGTGTAGCAGTTCAGGTTGCCACAGTTTATAAAATACATATATAATTATTCCCTTGGATTACGAGTGGAACATAGGGCTTCAACAGCATGTCTCCACTTTCTCTTGTTTTCTACAGTCCTCTTTAGCTGGTCCAATGAATGCTCAAAGACTCTCACCTCCTCCACACCACACGATATCCTCCATTTCACCCTCGGGTTACACCCGATAGCCTGGCGTCCGATGTCATCCTACGGTCTCCTCAACGTGCAACCGATCCATCTCCATTCTCTTCTACATATTTGTTTGCTGAGCAATAAGTTCTTGATTCTTAAATTCTCATAGTTTCTTGTTGCTAAACTTTTCGGGCCTACTATCTGATCTTCACTATGGAGCCAGTGAAGGCAGGTGTTATTAAGTCTTCAGTTGGCTATCGGAAATGATTTTATTGACCCATGCGCTCTAGCTGTTGGACGAGATTGATAAAGGTTCGGGGCATGCCATAGTGTTGAAGTAGTTTACAAATTATTTTACCGTCAACTCTGTCGAAGGCCTTTTCGAAGTCGATGACGTTGATGTAGAGACAGGTTTGACTGCTATTCTGTGCTTTGCTCGATACTGATGCGTAGAGTTGCTATTTGATCAGCACATGATTTGTCTTTCCTGAGTCCAGCTTGTTCCAGGCTGAAGGAGTTCTGCATCCAGTGCACCTTTTATTCTCTCCAGAATGACTCAACTTAGTACTTAACTTGGTGTAGACGAGAGCATTATTCCACGCCAGTTCTTTCAGAGGCTTAAGTCGTCCTTCTTTGGCGGTTTTACAGGGTGACCTTTCTTTTAATCAGTAGGCACCTTTCTTTTCTCCCAAACTCTTTGCAGTAGTGGCGTGAGAACATGTGCCGCAGTCTCTGGGTCCGTTTTCAGTGTTTTATAGGGAATCCTATACGGTCGTGGTACGTTCCCGGCCAAAGTTCAGTAACTTGATTGCATTCAAGATTTCTGCTTTTGTTGGAGGATTGGTGTACATTGGCAGGCAGTCCTTTGCGTGTTGTTGTTGTTGGTGTATTTCTGGGTGAGTTGCCGGTGGTGGTCAATTCAGGAGTCCTTTAAAGTGATCGGCCCATTGTTTTATTTATTTCTCCTCCTTGGTGTCCAGGTTCCCTTGAACATCTTTCATTGGTTTCATCATCTGAATTGATCTCTTCCTAGATAGAGACTTGGTTATCTGATATAGTGTCTTGATGTCTCTTTTGCCTGCGGCCTGTTCTGCTTCAGTCGCCAGCCAGTGTGTTGTAGAATTGTTTTTTCTAGCACTCTTTACTTCTTTATTCAGTGTGATGTACACTGAGCTAAGCTTCTCTTTTCGTTTCACTGTCTTTGCACTGGTTCGTCTTCTGTTTCACCATCTTTCTCTTCTCTATTAGTTTCCAGGTGCCTGTAGATAGCCATTTCTTGTCTTTCCTCTTCTTTCTTCTCAGAACAATTGTACACGTCGGTGGCGCGGTGGTTAGAACTCTCGCCGACCATGCACCTGGTCCGGGGTTCGATCCCCTGCCGACGCACACCTGATATCTATGTTCGGCCTGCAAAATTTGGGCTACCGATATCCATGCTGAAAATTCCATACTTGTACTGAAAATACGGTGTGGCATCAAGCTGTAATCAAAAACAAATAAACATTACTTTCACAGAGTTTCGGTGTTCTTCCATGCAGATTTCCTTACTGCTGCTAAGTAGTGTTTCCGACTTTGCTCTGATGACTGCAGTGAAGGTGTCAATTGTAGTTTCGTCCTTCAGTTTCTAAATGTTATACCTGAATTCTGGTCTGTTTGTATGCTTTCAACTTTACCCTGAAGGTTCCTTACTTTAGACAATGGTATGAGCCCTCATTTGCTTTGACTGCTATTCTTGGCATTACGATAGCCACTCCCTCAATGTGCTCGTGGTTATCGTTTGGGTGATTGGAGTAGATAACTGACACTTGAGTTAACAATTCGGATAGTCCATATCCATTCCTCTCCCCTCTCACAGATTCCTAGCACTCCTGTACCATATCTTCTCACTTTCTGGCAACCTGCGCAACCTTCCCAGATTCCTACGTTGTACAAACATTCCACTTCCCAATGCTTATTTATGATTTCATTGGAAGAAGACACATCAGCCGACTGTCTTCCTGAAGGCTTTCACCAGCCCACATCATTCCGTCTTTTCAATTCCAGCGAAGAATAAGTCTGTCTTTTATATTTATGTTGCTTTTCCAAGTTTCGGTAGCTTTTGGATTGATTTTCTGAGGAAGGATGGCTGGTCCCACGGCCAACCCTTTTTGTTTTCCTGGACTTGGGATGGGCTTGAAAACTATTGAACTAGTAAACTAGGTGAGGTTAAAGACCGTAACTCTAACTGTAGTGGAGACATTTTGTTAAAAAAAATCAGTTACTTAATTATTTATTTGTTTTTAATTTGTGTCTCTACTAAATGTTTCCCCATATTTTAAAATGTTTAGATATTGAAGAATAGTAAACGGGATTTACGCCGTCATTTGGAAACAAGTTTACGTGAAACACAAGAAGCCTTTTTAAACAATAAAGACAGAGTATATTTCAGAGAACAAGAAGCGAAGATGCTTTTAACATCGAATAACCTTTCCTTACATAATTCCAAAGGAAATCATTGAAACCATTTAATTGTACAATTTTGTGATTTGTAATGGTATTTGTCAATCAACTTTACAAAATTTCTTCATATTGTACAGCTATAGTGTATATGGGATATTTTTGAACAAGTTCATTCTGGACTGACATATAAGTAACTTTTATGAGATAATATAAACTTGATTATCGCATGGTTTTTACACATTTCTGTCATTAAATATCTGAATGTTTCTGAGTCATCTATCCACTGCGTTGAAGGTTAGTCATGATTTACAATTCCAACATTCCATCATATAGATAGTCTCTTTTCTTTTATGGTGATTAGTAACGAGAAATGAATATAGAAGTTTATGTAGCTAATATTCAGTTATTTTGTGATTAATCTATTCTATATAACAGCTAGTTTAGTTTTGGTGTCGTGTAGGGGTGGACTAGTAAATTTCACTGCCCCTTAAAAGCTTAGTTGAGATACCAGCAAGGTTCTGTAATAGGAGGCAAGTGTGACTCGGACACACAACATCTTTCCGTAACGGTGATGGTTTAGGGGATGTCTGAAGTTTAGATCAACTGTGCATACTTACTGAAAAATAAGACTTAGAGTGTAGGCACACATTGGTTCCACTGTACTTCTAAAAGGAGAGTGGCATTTTTACGTTGTGAAGTAACTTCTTCAGTTTTTGTTGTGGTAATTGCATCGGAAGCCTTTTCAGTTTATGTTGTCTGAGTTATTTAGTTGAAAAACTGTTATTTTCCACTCATTTAACGTGAATTCTCTGACACGTTTGTATCATTCTGTATTTTGATATCCATTTTTGTGTCTCGGTAGTTTAAACAGCCTAATCACCACCCTGTGTGCGTCGGTGGCATAGTGGTTAGGACGCTCGCCGACCATGCACATGGTCCGGGGTTCGATCCCCGGCCGACACACTCCTTTACCTCGCTAACCCAGAAATAACGCTGGTGAAGAGGAAAGGTTAGGCATGAGGCTAGCAACCCCATCCTGTAAAACAAGCACTGCTACAGAAACTTCAAGCCTATAGCTTGAAGCCCTATGTTCCACTAAGGAACGTGAAGGAAATAAAGAAAAAGAAAGAAAGAATCACCACCCTAATTCCAGCCTCATTAAGAATCCTACGTAGGGGAGCCTGATGTTCCTTCTTTATATGGCAGTAATGCAGGGGCTTTGAAAATGATAAAAGTAACATAATTAATATGCAATTCAAAGCCTCATTCCACTACAGTACCCAAGCCCAACCGGTAGCTGCTACCTTGACGTGGTGGTCGGGCTTGCATATCACAATGACCCAACAAGCTACACTGGCTGGAACTATTATTCATGCAGGTCTTCCCATTCCAGGAAGGTTTTTAGGATAGCGATTAGACTAAAAGCAGTTACCGGCTTAGTGTAAGAATTGTTTTAAACTATGTTCGGGGTCTGTGGGCGAAGTCGTACTGCTGGGAATCAGGGATGTAACAGCAGTGAGGTGTTTCCCTGAGATGACCAGCATGCCATCCAGCTATGCTGTCTCTTCACTTTGGAGATAGGGGTTTAGAAAAAGTCTACCCCAATAATTGTACATCCCGACTCACCCTACGGTGGTCCGTAGCCGGCGGCAAATTTGCTAATACTGAGCCAATCCCAGAAACCAATTCATACAAGCCGTGTGTGGCTGGCCTCAAGCAGTTGTCCTCTGGGCTCTGCGGTCACGCAACACTAACCCTCATTATGTTTCAGGTACCCGAAGAATCAGCCAACTTCCACGGTTGGTTGCGCAGCTGGGAAGTAACAACCGCCCACACACTTCCAAAAGCACGCGAAGCCTACCTGAGCATCACTCTCCCTTACTCACATCACCTTCCTCATCTTGCTTCTCTACTAGAGCTAACACTGTTCTTCAGGCTAGTGAGTTCTCTTCACTTCACTCTGTGACCACAAACAACGATGAGAGCCAACAGCCTCTTAAAGCCACGTCGCCAACTTCATATAGGAGCATTCAACATCAGGACCCTCTGCCAAATCGGACAACAGGCATCACTATCAAGAACTATGGTATCTCGAGCCATGGATGTATGTTGTATTTCGGAGACACGCATACAGGACCTGAGTGTGATTATTCACTTCACCTCACCCGGCCAAGGGTGTCGAGACCCCTTGGCTAGTTCGTGAGGACTCGCAGGTGTAGGGATATCATTGAGTGTTAGGGCAGAAAAATCACTTCCTTACTGGATCCCAGTAGGTAGTCATATTTGTCTGGACCATCTGAACGGGTCCGTCAGAAGAAGGAAAGATGGCGCTACCCGTCGTTGTCTCTTCGTAGTCTCCGCTTAAGCCCCAACAGACTGCAGTTCTGATGAACTAAAGGATAACTTCTACTTGAAACTGTCTAATTTGCTGCAAAAAGCAAAACGTTCAGACATAGTTGTTTTGGCAGGCGACTTGAATGCCGAAGTAGGGAAGTTGTGCCAGATTGCGAAGTATGTAGAGGTGGTACGACGTATGGAGTTCCCTGCCGACGAACCGACAACGATGATCGTCTTCTACAGTTCTGTTCAGAAAATCATCTGCTCCTAGTCAGCACTAACTTTAGACACAAAGAGAGACATTGTGTAACCTGGCGACCTCCATCACCAAATCAACGCTGGACTGAGGTGGACCACATAACGATAGAGTATGGTTGGCGAGGGTCGGTAGAAGACTGCTGCTCCTCTTGGAACACGTGGGTAGACTCCGATCACACTGTGGTTGGCGCACGTTTATGCTTACAAGTGAACGAACATCAGAAATTGCTGGCAGAGAAACAATTACGTCCCCAGCTACATCGAGACACTGAGTCCCTATTTAAGGAAGAACTAGCGGAAGGAGTATCTGAGGTCGACAGCAGGACTCCTCCTGAAGAAGCCTGGCACAACATACAGTTAGATGTAGACACAGCCGTAAAAGCTGTTAGTGACCTAAAAACAAATGTTAGTAAGGGCCGTTGGATCTCTACCGCCTCATCCGAACTGATTGACGCAAGAAGACAGATTCCGTTGAGCTCCGATTGTGATGAGGAGTGAAAGCTACTCAAACGCAAACTAACAAGAAGTCTTCGCAACGACGGTGAACAGTGATGGGCGACGAAATCGAAAGAGATGGGAAAGGCATTGGCGATTGGTAACATCAGACAACTATTTATACTTACTTATCAGGGAAACAGGTGGTGAAGGGCAAACGATAAGTGAAACGATCTGTGAGGAAAATGGCACCATAATTAGCTCCCAGGATAGAGGACTAGAACGTTGGAAAGAACACTTTGAGGGGAAATTTAACTGGCCTACAGCCACGCTCAACTTACCCAACACCTCCTTGAATGGGATATAGACCCAAGTCCTCCGTCCCTAACTGACGTTGCAAAAGCTGTCGCTAATGTGAAGAGAGGCTAAGTAGCGGGACCTGATGGAATGACTCCATAGGTGTTTAAGTACGGTGGAGACAGTTTACTGTCTGCGTTAACTAAGGTACTAGGCAGCGTCTTGGAGACAGAGGAAGTCCCATTGGGTTGGTGTAAGTAATTGATTATCCCGATTTGCAAAAAGGGAGACAAGTCTCCCTATGATACTCACGAAGGGATTAGCTTGACTAATGTGGTATCTAAAGTTCCAGACTCAGTAATCATGCGTAGACTAAGTGGTACACAGGAGGCACAAACACAAGAGAACCAGGCAGGCTTCAGACCAGGAAGAGGGTGTATTGATCATATCTCCACCGTTCGACAGATTCTGGAACATAAGCATACTTACCGGCGTCCAAGGGTTGTCATATATCTTGACCTAAAGGCGGCACTCGATTGTGTCGACCGAGAGGTGGTCTGGCGATGTTTGGCTGTGAAAGGAATGCCGAGAAAATACTTTGCACTGATCAAGGCACTCACTCTACTCGAACTCATGCATTCAGCCAGGTGAGAGCTTACGGCGAGTTTTCATTTGAACTGGTGACAACTAGTGGTGTCCGACAGGGATACCCACTATTCCCGTTCCTATTCATTTTCATCATATATGTACTAATGGACTTAACCCTAAGTGACTTCAGCGACTCACCATCGGGGAATAATCTCGTTGACTTAGAATATGCAGATGATATAGTCCTCCCTCCTAGGTGAAGACGCTGAAAAAATACAGTCTTGTGAACACCTTGAGCTGCAATCTTCGAATGTTTGGCATGCGATTCGCTCGTGCTGTCAAGTGTAAGATTATACTACAGGACTCGACTCGACTACATTGACTACTAGCTTAGAAATAGTGAGTGAAGTGGTAGAGCACGTTGACCACTTCACTTATTCGGGAAGTTGCATCAGCCAACACCAACGGGTTGATTGCTGACGAAATCTCAGCACGGATATGGAAAGTTAGTTTTGCATATTCCAGTTAACGCCGTCTCTGGCGTAGACGTGATATTCGGCTGGCTGTCAACCAAAGGGCGTGTGTACTGCTCAACAGTCCTCTTCGTCCTCCTTTATTGCTGTGAGACTTGGCCACATGAAAAGCCTGGCTGGCTGTCTTTGATCGTAGGTGCCTGAGTTCTATGTCCCGTATAACAAGATGAGCAATATTGAGGTTAGGCATAGGTCGAGTGCTAGGTAAGGAGGAAGGGGAAGTTAATCGACGAGGCTGTGAAGCTACATCGACTGAGATGGTTAGGACATGTGCTACGTATGCCTAGTCATCGCATTCCTCGATGGGAAACGTTAGCTGACATAGGATTGGTTAGGTTGGAAAAGAGCTAGCGGCGGTGAAACCAAAACATGACAGCAGTTAGTTCAAGCCAGCCACGTCAGTACGTGTAGACTTCCTAACTGGCTAGGGTCCTCGGGACGGTAAAAACCAATGGCTAGAGACAATCGGTGATATGGCTCAAAATTGTTCTCAATGGCGCAGATGCGTCAACTCCTTGTGACTTGTAATTTCCAATGAAACTATATTGTTCTTCGTCATTACTATTCCTTTTGCCTGATATTCCTGTTAACTGTTTCTAATTTGCATTTCTACTTGATTCTCTTGCTTTGTGTGCTACAAGGAGGGAGTGTGACGACTTGAACTGCTGCAGATCGGTGCAAAGTTCTATGTTGAAAATAGACAGACAGTGCCCAAATTCTCCATCTACACTTAAGGTATTAGGTTTACGGGTGACTAGATATCGCCAACCTATGTTC